AGATGCACCGAGATGACTGCGATTCTGGAGCAGATTCTGAAGAGGAGTCTGGAACGAGTGAAGCCGTGCTACCTGGGCCGCCTGGCCGACTACACCAACAGAATCGCCTGTGCTCCACAGGAGAGGAGGCCGTACCAGAATTCGACTGGCGCAGATTACGCCCAGTTTAGGGCTCTCTTTGCCCTGGTCTCAAACAAGAAGGAATTCGCCAACATTTATCGTGAAACACTCTCCCAGAGAATTCTGGCTAAAAATAGCCTTATTTCGCATGAAATAGCCTTATTAGGAGAAATGAGACTCGAGGGGCAGCACAGGCTGAGGGAGATGGTTCGGGACCTGTCGAACGAGACTGAGCACATCCGCGTTCTCAACAACGCCCTCTGGAACTTCTGCTGCGAGAATCCAAGTCTTCCGCTTGGAGACGACCTGTTTGGGCTGATTCGCTCTGAGCTGCCCAACTTCACTCGCAGGTCGTCTGGGAGTCGGAATGCGTACGCGTACGACGATCCAGTGACGAATGAAACGAGATCAATCCAGTTTGCCCATCAATTTAGCCGAATATTCGTACGAATCAATGGCAGGAAGTTCATTCTCTCAGTTTACCAGTATTTGATAGTTCGCCTGGTTGAAGATGGGCTTTCTGGGGATGAAATCCAAAAGACCCTTGGAATGAACGAGAAGAAGATTGAGATTCTGTTGAAGAGTCTCGAAAGAAGCGGTGTCGTATCGAGACGAAATGGCCTCTTTGGCTACGAGGTGGCTGCTGCGGCAGAGAGCACGACCAGTGTTGGATTTGCCCTTGACTCTGCCCAAAAGGGCCACATTGACATCAAAAACAGTCGTGGATTTGTTGATATCAGCAATGTTGATTTGGACTACTTCTACAACAGGGAGCATGACACTGTCTCACGACTGATGGCGATGGTAGCGAGGGTGCTGAAACAGAAGAAGAAGGTTGAAGAAGACGAGTTGAGAGCACATGTCACTGCTATGTCTGGAGAAATGGTGGATGATGAGTTGTATCAAGGCGTATTGAAACAGGCACAAGAAAGAGGGCTATTTGAGAAACACGGTACAAACTACACGTACATGACATAGGGTAGTAGTTATAGTAGGTAGTTAGGCAGAGTAGTGGTTATAGTAGGTAGTTAGGCAGTTGAGACTGTGGTAATCATGCACCATTTATTGTATATAAAGTTATCAAGTCAATCACATCATCATTTTACTATCTATATCATACAAACACAATACAATCAGTGAACATGATTGGCACCGTGCTATTGTTTCACCATTTCTGATCTCATCCACCGTAATAACAAAGTCATCTCCACATGGACATGGATACGTGTATGTTCCACATTCATCATCGTATTCGAATTCAGAGAGGTGGATCTGGTCGTAGTGGCTGACGTAATCAGCTGCCTGTTCAAAGTACTGGTCGTAGGAGAACTCCCTTTCCATGGGTGAAAATGGCTGTTCTAGAACACTTCAGTCCTCTCATTTTTCATACTGAAAATGCCCTGTGAAATGACAGATGCCATATTCGACAGGCAGGTGCGTCTGTTTGGGACTGAGACACAAGAGAGGATTGGTGGCACCACAGTGGTCGTAGCAGGAAGAGCAAACAAGATCAGTGCTGAGATCGTGAAGAATGTGGTGCTGCTGGGAGTGTACGAGGTCAGGACGACTGAGGAGATTGCATTGGAGGCAGAGAGGCTGATTAAGGGCGACCTTGAAACAATAAACGAAAGAGTGAAGATAAACAGGAAATTACGAAATGACTCAATTGGAAGGATGAGGGTGGGCCATGGTTACGGAATTGTAGGAAGACTCCTTGACTATTTCAGGGGTGAATCCAAGAATGATAAAAGTAGCCTATTTTATTTTCTGATTGATCAGGATCATTCTGGATTGGATGTTGGATACTATTTCGTATGCTCAGGATGCAGGACAGCAGTAAAGAACAGCTGTGTGCACCAGTGCATTCGCAAGGAAGGGGCAGGAGCAGACAATCGCATGCTTGAGCTGGCTAAGGACCTCTACGTTGGTGCCACTGTTGTACAGGAATTCATCAAAATTGTGGATGGGAAACCAGAGACAGCAGCAACCACATTTTCAGCCGATGGCCTATGAAATGCAATTTAATAAAACTATGAGAATAATAGGCTATTTTGGTTAGGGAGACTGAATGCCCTATAGTACCACTCCAACTACTCTTCTTTCTCCTTCTCACTCTTTGTCCATTCGTAAGCAGGTCGAAAGCTCTCAAAGAAGCCACAGTCAGCAAAGAGATTCGGCCAAATCCAGCACTGTTCCCGAAACAGGAAGAGCGTGACCGTGTAGACCACAAGACGAAGCAGGGCAGCAACGAGCATGAAGAGCAGGAAGCCAAGGACTGGGTAGCGGACGTAGTAGAGGGCGTAGCGGTGCCAACGTGGGAAGAAGTGGAAGAGGGCAACGACGCCAATGGCAGCGGCAGCCAGGAGAAGCAGGACGCGATGGACCATCGAGTCGTCCTCGTGCTCCCAAATGAAGAGGTCTGTTCCACTCAGGTGCCTCTTTGCGCTGATATCGACGCTGCTATCGTCAACTTTCTCAACTCGAAATAGAATTCCCTCATCCATCAAGTACGTGAACAGCGCCTTGATCTCCTCCATTTTGTATTCCTTTCCTAATTTGATGATGGCGTGTTTGAATTGGAACACGTTGACTCGTCTGGTGCTTCGTAGCAGGAACTCCTCGCTGGGCAGATTCCTAAGCACTGCCACCATTTTCCTGAAGTTGGCTGGGGGATTGTTCATTTAGGGCTGTTTGATACAAAAATAGATTTAGTGGTCTGTTTGCTGTTTTGCTTAGTTTAATCAATATTGATCAGTTATTAAGGTTATCATGGTGTTATATTACGTGCAACACCAGTTCATACGGCAGTGAGACGGAACGAGGAGCAAGGCAACTCATCAGATACGTCAGAAGTGACACCAATAGAAACATATCAATTAAGGGATGTTAGATTTCACTACAAGAATAGGAAAAGAGAGAGTGCTGAAAACAACAGTTCACGAGTCGTAGAAACCAAAACAATCACTCCCAGTACACTTGTGAAGTCACCTCGCTTAAAATGCAAATTGGATAAAATAAACAAGGAGAAGGATGCAATTCGAGTTAATAACAGGAACGAGGGTACAGGTGTGGAGACTATAGGGATGGATAAGCACTGTTTCACTAAGGGAGACATTCATGCTGAGATATATAGGGTGAATAAGCAACTATTTGAGGATCAAATAATGGCAGCAATGGAATCAATGTATGGCAACAACTACGAAGATGTGTGTATTGGAGACGAGGGAGATGATCAGGATGAGTATTTGGAGCTACGTGAGCAGAGGAAGAGAGAGCTACGTGATGCAATTGAGCAGAAGCCACACAGACTATGTGAAGCCGTTAATAGAATGACTGCCCTAAGAAAAACAGATGACTCAAGTGAATCCGTAAAGATATCGAAGCCAAGGACTACTCTATTTCATAGGGCATTTAACTACATAAAGAATCTTCTTATAGCCCTATGGAAAAGGGTATTCAATAAACAATAAGAAAATGTGTTTTATTGATCAGAAAGCAGTGACTAATGTAGAAGGTGTCTGACAACCAATGCACCAGCTGCTGATCCAAGGAAGTCGCCCACCATGTACTCCCAGAAGAAGCTGTACTTATTGGTGACCAGAAATGTAGCAAAAATGAATGCGGGATTGAAGGAGCCTCCCTCAGCACGGGACGAGATGAATGAGCCAGTCCCAGTTATTGCGCCTATTGAGAATGGTAGAGCGTGTTTGTTGCGTCTGTATGATTTAGTAGTCCCCATTCTGTTGTACTGAATTAGCCCCTTTGCATAAACCAGGTTTTCTATCACGACCAAAGCAAGCAAGAACGATACACCGAATTCCAATGCGATGATTCTGACGCTGCTTGTTGGCTGTGTTGTCTCGTAGACCCTCAGATACTCCTTTCCAAAAAGCAGCCTTGTTATTCCACTTCCACAGATGAATCCAATGATTTGAAATATTATGAAAACAAATGCTGATTTGAAGTGGAGGAGACCAATCAGGGCGCATGCCACCGTCACGGCTGGATTCACGTGCCTGAGTGTTAGGTGCTCGAATGAGTATCCGATGCTCATTTTGGCAAGTGCAATTGCCACTGCTGCATTTGCCACATTTGTCACAATGGCAAAGTTGGCTACGATACTAAAGATCAGTGATGCCATGAACTCAGCAACAAAACACTCGTAATTTCTGTAGTTCATCAGGGTGTAATAAGTTGCAGTGCTAAAAGAGTTGGCCTATCGTGATCAGAAGATTAAATTGCTCATTCGATAGGGATCATTTTACAGGAATCATTTTGTGAATATCACCCTAAGAAATGGAAGTGGACTACAGTGAATTGACAGCAAGGGAGTTTGTGAAGAGTAAGGCATTGGACTTGAAGAATGCGCTAGTGGAAATCAAGAGAAGTAGAAGCAGAGACGAGATGAATCAGGGCATGAAGGAATTGAATAAAAAATACAGGGGATTTCTGAATAGCACCAGGCTCATGAAAAAGAATGAAAATGTGACAGTAAAAGGACTGTACGCCAATGAAATGGTAGAGGAGATCGAGTGTGGTGGATTTGTGCTATTGGTGAGCAAGAAAACAGGGAAAGTGCTAACTAATAGCAGAAAACAGGTTAATTTGGTCAACATGACCAAAGAAGGTGCAATAGAAATATGTAAAGTCTACGAGAAGATGAAGGATTGTGGTGTCTGTAACGCATTTTATAGGGGAATAGAGGAGCCAGTGGAGATGAAGCAGTGCAAGAACTTCATTTTGGTCAAACACAGGCAGTGTGAAATGTAGCATCAGAAATTCAAACATATTTTTCACCCATGTCAGGACAACAGGGTTCTTCTGCCTGTGAATTGTTTGCAATTGTTGCATTTTCAACGCTCTCAATGAGTATCAACATGAGTGAGGGACTTCTCTCTGGATTTATTGGGATACTGCTACAGTTCTACGTCCTACAGAATATCAGTCAGATTAAACAGGCTACAATTCTGGTTGCGACGCTAATTATGATTCGCATGTCATTTTCAGCAATAAAGAGAACAAATACAATAATGCCTGTTAACGTAGGCAGAGACCACTTCGACCTAATGAGATCCACTCTGATAACACTCGTTGTAATTTGCATATTCATGTGCGATTACAAATCAATTTGGAATAGTAGGTTTGATAAGACTGAGAATAGTGGAATCAGTCTGATGGACATTGGTGTACCAGTATTCGCATTCGTAAACGCATTCACCAAAACAAGAAGTCATAGGAGAATTCTGACCTGGAAAATAATTTATTTGGTTGCACTTGGATTCACTCGAATGGGAACAATCAGATTTCTGAAATACGACGTATCACCATTAGAATACGGAATTCACCTGAATTTCTACTTCATGCTAGCAATACATGAGCTATGTCACGGGATATACAGGCGGATTGTAGACCAATTCTACCTGTTTGATACGGTGATAGGCGCATTGGTGCTATCTGCGTACTACAAGTTGACCAGATTCCCATTTCTAGAAGAATACCAAAGAACAACCTGGCTCAGACAGAACATCGAGGGAATCTATTCGATTGTCCCATTCTTCGCATTCTACCTGATTGTAGCTGACTTCGGCCGCTACTACGAGAAGAGACGATTCAAAGGACTCATCATCTACGTCAATACAGCCATAGTTATGCTTATTTATGCATACATGCGCATAACAGCAGAACACAAACAAATTTCCAAGAAGGAGCTGCTGAATCTGCTTCATGAAACCAGAAACAGCCTCGTCAGCCGCAGATCCACGAACGTGTTCTACGTCCTCTGGTCACTGGTGATTTCCTACGTCTCCTTTGCCACGAGTTATACAGTCTGCCGCCTCTCTCCCCATTCTGTCCACCTGAACACGATGGTCACCTTCGTCTCAAGAAACATGCTGATTGTCTTCCTGGCTGGCAACATTGGAATCATCGTCTCCAAATCCACTGGTCTCTGTCCCCATCCCCTTGCAGCCAACATCATCTACTTGTTCTCTATCTTCATGCTCCTTGGATGGATTAGAACAAGAATCATAAGAAGGTGATGCTGGCTGTTGGAAACTGCCTATATTCTAAGTTACTAAGAACTATTCTGAATCGACCTACCACTCTACAAGATGCTCTTAACACGGTTAAACCAAATTAGTTGCCTAGAAATATTTCACCCTAACTAACCCATGTTTCTTGAAATACTCAAAACAGCTTTCTCCCTCTTCTTCAACAAACAGATCTACAAAGACGCCTTCACTGATTCATCTGACATATCCAGCATATCCACTGCTCTAAGCATCCTTGGCGCCAATAAATCCAACTTTGGTCTCAAATACAGAAATGGAATCAGAAGAAGTCACCCTGATTTGGGTGGTAGTGCATCTCGGTGCCAGAGACTCAGCGAGGCCTACAAATATGCGACTGAATTCTATAGACCACTCTAAGACTGTTTATTTAAAGAGAAGGAAGACTTGCACCAATCCGCCTAGGAGTCCACCACACAATTCGGCCACAACAAACTGCCAGAAATATTCGAAGTTGCCACCTGCAATCGACGGCCCAAAGACGATTCCCGGGTTGAATGCGCCACCAGAAGTGGACGAGGCCAGAAATGCCAGAAATCCAAGAGTGGATCCAATTGTGAGAGGAGCAAACTTGCTTCGATCAATCTGCGTCTCGCCTACGAAGAGAGTCACCCCTGGCTCCCTGACTGCGTTTATTCCGACTTCAAATGCAACGAAGACCAGGATGAATGAGAGGATGAATTCGGCCCAGAAGATGTTGTGGTCCGATATCTCGTCTGATACGGCACCAGGCGTAATGAGATCGAGTGTCTTGCTGTATCCGTATGGGAAGCAGAGGACGGCCAGGAGGGAGGCGATGAAGAAGCCGAGGAGCTGGGCGATGACGTAACCGATTCCAAGGGCCAGGTCGAGCTTGCCAGTGACCAGGGCTGCGATTGTGATGGCTGGGTTGAAGTGCGAAGCACAGTGGTCGCAGAACGTGTAGATCAGGGCGATGCTGCTGAATGCGACTGTGAGGCCAACGGCCGTGCTTGGGGCTGGGTTCTCGCTCGCCTTTGTGTTCAATACGGCGCTGTAGACNACGGCACCAGGCGTAATGAGATCGAGTGTCTTGCTGTATCCGTATGGGAAGCAGAGGACGGCCAGGAGGGAGGCGATGAAGAAGCCGAGGAGCTGGGCGATGACGTAACCGATTCCAAGGGCCAGGTCGAGCTTGCCAGTGACCAGGGCTGCGATTGTGATGGCTGGGTTGAAGTGCGAAGCACAGTGGTCGCAGAACGTGTAGATCAGGGCGATGCTGCTGAATGCGACTGTGAGGCCAACGGCCGTGCTTGGGGCTGGGTTCTCGCTCGCCTTTGTGTTCAATACGGCGCTGTAGACAGCAAATCCGAATATCAGGCTGCATAGGAATTCAGCAAACAGTTTTTGACAGGTTAACTTGGTTCTGATATTCATGGGGTCTGTTTATGCTCAAACAAACAAATAAACAGTCTAATTTGTTTGTGTCTGTTTATGCTAAAATAAACAAATTAGTTGAAGTCTTTGACTACGACCAAGGGGTTCTGTTTTGGATGGGATAAGATGCGTATTGTTAGGGGGGTATTGAGACAAACATTGTTTTGGACAAATCCAAGGCCAAATACAGCACCGCCTTTCAGTTTGAATCCAGCTCGAATCACCCCATCAACTGTCTCATTGTTGCTGAGAATCTCGCTGGATCGATTTGCTCTGCCTTTGGGCATTTTGAATACGAAATATTTCACAGGCTGATTCTGGTGCAATTGCAATTTCGTGAGATCGTAGGCCACTCGTTTGGATGGGGGTGTTCGGTTGAATTTGGCTACGATTTCGACGTTGATTTTGGTGTCGATTGCCTTGAACAGGCTGCTACTGATGTTATCGTAGATTGTCATCGAATCACGTTCTAAGGCAACTGTTTCCAGCTCATTGATTGAAATCAGTCTCAGGCACAGCTTCTGGAGTGATTTCATCAGATTCATTGTACTGCTTCTTTCTCCAATAATGATATAATCATCAAGTTGATTCTGTCTATTTTTGAGTAGTCTGGCTCCGTGTTTCTCTACTGTTTCCTTGATCTGTTTGAAATGATCTTTCTTTACTGAATACAGTTTGAAGAGGGAGTGTGTTCCCATTTCTTCAATATTTGTAGTGAAACTAATTTTGATCAAATTATCATCCATTTTGGCGTATTCACTCGTATTGATGCTCTGATACTCCAGGTTTCTCAGCTGATTCCAGGCAGTTTGATCTACAGAATCAGAAACATCCTCTAAACTACTAAACGTCTCCACTTTTCTGATTCCTTCATCTATGAAATATCCAATGCAATATGCCTTATTGATCAATGCATTGCTCTTTACATTCCTGATCCATGGGATACTCACTCTTGAGTACTGTTTTAGACAGCTTTCTTGCTCTATGATCTTCAGCATCGAGAACCTCTTTGCAAAATAAATGTGTGTTTTTAGAACGAATCTCTGTTTTGTTCGTTTCTTGTATTTATGCGCCCTAAACTCAAAACTATGATTTCTCCTCCTTAGGTAGTGTGCCATCTGCTGAAATGGCGCAATCCTCGTATTCTTCTTCTCCAGACTCCTTTCCATCTCTGCTATCTCCCTGCTTCTGGCATCTAGAAACTGCTGAATGTTTATTTTATCATCCATTCTTTCTAGGGGCATTCTAGTTGAATAATGTTCTATCTAACTACGCTACAAATTCATCTAAGTAAACTGTAACAGCCTCTGATACACTTCTGACTGGTCTAATTCATTTGCACATGTTTTATTTCACTTTGAAGTCACCCTTTATTCATGCTATTGAATCTGTGCAAGTACGTTCCAACATTAGCACTATTCCTTACAGCACACTCTCTGGTTGTAATCAGCTACGTAAATAAGCAGAAACAGAAACTATGTGTTGTACTGGCTGCAATATTCGGACTTCTTAACATCTGCGTGATGCGGGGCACTTTCAATTTCAATAGGCCAAGTCCACTGATTCTACTTCTGAAATGTGACATTATTCTCTACGTATGGGAGATATTCATGGGAGTATGCTCCATCATACAGTACCAGTACGCTGGTTACTACGGATTTGGAATCATTGCATGTGGTGTAGTACTCTTTCTAAGCAACCTGATCAAGTTTGTTCTAATCAGGTATTACATTGATAAGAATGGATATGAGCTGTTTTCAGACGTGTTAGAGCTAGAGAAGTTTGTTATAATATGCAGAGATGGATACAAACACTTTACGGATGACGCAATTGTCCAAAATATGCTGGAAAACAAGGGTGGTCTCGATACGCGTGTTTTGTTCTGTATGTGGTCGAATTGCAACGAAACTCGTGACAGACTCGATCAGGAAGAGGCTCTCTCATTCATAAAGAGCAAAATAGAGGAAGTTCATAAGGATATTACGACAGACATTAATGAGATAGGCGGAATGAGCCATGGGATTGAGAAGAACATTCGTGTCTTAGACGAGAACGAGGACGATGGTTCCGATGCGGAGATTGAGTTGGATTTGAGCCCAGATGAGAGTAGCGGAGACGAGGATGGCAGCGAGGAGGATGAGATGGAGGCAACTACGATTCAATGTGGAAGCAAGGCAGAAGTAGAGAGAATATCGTGGGCCACAGAATCAGTGGAATACGATAAGGTGGATAAGGCGTATTTGGTGACAATAAAGAGGGAGAAGCTGAATGAGGTAGCTTTGGAAGGCGTAATAACACTGAAGAGCATTCAGAAGACGTTGACTGAGGAGGACGCAAAAAGGTGCCTGAAAATTATCACAAGGGGCTTTATGCAAATGATAAAATACGAGGACTTCGTGGAGCACATGCGGGAGCTAAACAAGGAACGTGGAGTCTTCATCAGTGCCCAGGCTGGACAGAAAATCGTACAAGAGGAGCTAAGGAAGATATTCATCTCCCTGAAGTGCGTTGGATTTCTGCTGATATTTATGCTCCTGTTTACGTGGAACGTGAATGCCAAGGCGACTGTTCTTCCGGTGCTTCTCTTCACTGTGCAACCACTGTGGTACTTCTACATGCCATTCCTCTACCTGGTCTACCACATGCCATTTCGAGTTGGTGAGAAAGTCGTAATCAAAAACGAGGCCATGAGAGTTGTTGAAATGCGCCTGTGCTACACGCTGTTCAAGGACGCAAATAAGCAGTTTATCACAATTCCAAATAAGGCGATATACATGTCCACGGTGCAGAATATCTACCAATCTATTCATCAGACACTTCTATTCAAAATCAAGGTTGCCAATAACACAAGTAGGCAGATTATGGGCGTACTCAGGCACAAAATGACACAATTTGGAACTGATTGTGGATTCATCAGGAAGATTGAGATGGATTGCACCAAGGTGGTTGATATGAACTACTACGAGATGGAAATGCGAATAACTCACCCATTCAACTACTCCAGCGGCTACTTCAAGGCCAAGGCCCATGACATCTTCCTGCACGAACTAATCAGACAAATAGAACACTTGCGAATTGATGGAGGCCACCAGAAGCCACGGGTGACTCTGGTTGGAAAAAGAATCAAATTTGAATAGAAATGAAATTGCCACTAACATTAGTTAATTACCACAGGTAGTAGTAACAATAGCAGTAACAATAATAATGATATTAGCTAATTATCTAGCTAACTACAATACTAACTACCACTCTACCTACAATACTACTCATTAACTTAATAATGTTATATTTATTGGGTTAAATGTAGTCTTCAATTGGGATCTTCCAAACATGAATGAAATTGGAGTCGCAGACTGAGACGATCTCAATTGGCTCTGCTGGATTCCAGTCGAAGTCAGCGACTGTGTTAGCGTGTCCACCGTGAATGAAGACCAACTCATTCGACGCATCTCCACTGGCTGCGTTGCTCTTGTTCAAATCCCAGATGTTTATGCGCCTGTCTTTTGAGCCAGAAGCCAAGATCGACTCGTAGTGGAGAGACCACTTCACGGTCATCACGTCGCCCTTGTGGNACTTAATAATGTTATATTTATTGGGTTAAATGTAGTCTTCAATTGGGATCTTCCAAACATGAATGAAATTGGAGTCGCAGACTGAGACGATCTCAATTGGCTCTGCTGGATTCCAGTCGAAGTCAGCGACTGTGTTAGCGTGTCCACCGTGAATGAAGACCAACTCATTCGACGCATCTCCACTGGCTGCGTTGCTCTTGTTCAAATCCCAGATGTTTATGCGCCTGTCTTTTGAGCCAGAAGCCAAGATCGACTCGTAGTGGAGAGACCACTTCACGGTCATCACGTCGCCCTTGTGGCCTCGTAGCACTGCAACTGGACTCCTTGTGTTTCTGGTGTCCCAGACTCTGATTGTCTTGTCACTTGACGCGGTTGCAATGAGCTCGGCCCTGAAAGGGGAGAAGTCGACGAACTCGATTGAGGAGGCGTGCGCCTTCCTGGCGACCACGGCCGCCTCCTCGTTCCTCGTGTCAACGACGACCAAGGAGCAGTCGTCTGAGACCGAGGCAAAGACGGCTGGGTTGAATGCGCTGCACGAGACCGCGTTGACCACCTCTGAATGGTGGCCGTACTTCCTGATCAGCCCCGAATTGATGTCGAAGTGGCAAATGGCCTTGTCTCTTCCCCCTGTTACGAGGTGACCGAAGTTGATTTTGTTCCAGTCCAGGGCGAATCCGCCTTCGGAGTGGCCACGGAGTCTCTCGTCTGGTGCCACGTCCGAGTTGAACGAGGCGTGACGCGTGTAGTCGTAGACGAGGACGTCTGCCTCCTCCGTCTTGCACGCCAGCAGATTTGTTGAAATTGGGCAGTATTTCGCCTTGTTTATTTCTGCTGGAACTGGCATCGATTGGACGATATCGAAGTTGATCTGGGCCCCGGCCTTCTCGTCCTCGTCCACGATGTCCGGGAATCCCATTCGCCCAATCAGAACGTGCTCCTGCTCCCTCTGATCAGTGAAGGTCGTAAGCAGAATCCGCTGTGACGTGGTTGCGTCGCTCTTTCTCTCCACTTCCGGAAACCATTGGACTGTTGGACTAGGCCACTTCAGTGTCTGCGTGTAGACCAAGTCGTACATGTATTTGACATTCTTGCGCCACGTCTTGTACTCCTCCTCAATGAGGGCTTCTGGTCTGTTTTCCATTGCCATGGGCTAAAATAGTAGTAGAAAATAATAGTAGGGTAAATAATAGGGTGGATATATAGGGTGGATATAAATAGTAGTAGAAAATAGTAGTAGGGTGACTAGAAATAACAGGGTGAATAAGATAGTAGGGTGAATAAGATAGTAGTAGAAATAATAATGGGGTGGATAAGATAATAGTAGAAATAACAGGGTGAATAGAAATAGTAGTAGAAATAGTAATAGGGTGGATAAGATAAGACTAACTAACTACTGTATCTACTATTGTTACCATTTATTCAGTCACATGAATCCGAATCCACCCCTGAAGAACGATCTCGCGTTGAATTCGTCATCGCATTCTGAGCTCTGGTTGCACTCAGCTCGCTCCTCAGCCCGCTCCCCTGGCACCGCTGCGTACGATCCGCTCACATTCACCGCGTCCCGATGCGCAGTCTGCGCCAGCTGAGGCGGAATCGCCTGTGCCAGCTGCGCCGCATTCATTCGCTTTGGTATCAGAATTTCAAGGTCGATGAACAAGTTGCCCTTCTTCCCAAACTCGGACTTGAATCCCTCGCCGTAGAGGACGACGCCCTTCTTCAGGTCGCTCGTGGATCCAATGCGGATGTTCAGGTGGCGCCCATCGACGTGCTCGAACGGGACGAATCCACCAGCGAGCACCGTGAGAAGGTCGACCTCGACGTGGGCGACGATGTCGTCACCAACGCGCCTGAAGCCCGCAAGCGGCTTCACCGTCACCACAAAAACGAGGTCGCCAGGCCTCTTTCCCGGCTCGTGGTTTCCCTCGTTCTTCTTTCGAATCGGCGTCCTGTCCCTTATTCCCGCCTTGATCGGCACCTCAATCACGTACGGTGACTTGGTCACTTTGGTGCCCCTGCAATCTGAGCAAACAGGCCCCTTCGCAACAGACCCCTCTCCGCCACACGCATCACAGACGACCTGCTGCTGCGCTATCATCGCGCCCATGCTCCTTTTTATCACGTAGAAGCCGTGGCCACCGCATTTGGCGCACTTCTGGACACTCTTTGCCCCCTTTCCGTCACACCCATTGCACACCCTCGTTGTGTTGATCTTGAACTTGCTCGTCTTCCCCAAATACGCCTCCTTCATCGTAATCGGAATCTGAGTCACCGTATCATCCACCTTTGGCTCCCTCCTCTGGCTCCTGCCTCCCCCTGTGAATGCACTGAAAATGTCCTCAAATCCACCAAATCCGCCTCCACCAGGGAAGCCGCCTCCAAATCCACCAAAGTCACCGTACTCCCCTTTGCCTGCGTCATAGTCCGCCTTCTTGTCCTCGTCGCCAAGGACACCGTATGCGATATTGATTTTACTGATCTCCTCATCAAGTGCCTTCTCCCTAGCCGCCTTCTGATCATCACTCATCGCCTGATACTCGGCACTGGCACGCATCTTCTTCCTGATTGGACCAGAAGGGTGCAATTGCGCCTGCTTCTTCCTGTAGGCCGCCTTTACATCCCTCATATCTGAACCAGGTGACATTCCCAGTATTTTATAGAATTCCTTGGAGTCATTGGACATGGATGAAAAATTTAGTGGAATTTCAGGAAAGAAGCTTCTAGAACACAAAAATGGGTGGAAAGTGTTCTAGAAGACAAATAGGTGGAAATAGGTTATGGATGCACAGGGAGGAGAGGGAGACGCATTCGACAGATAGG